TTAGGGTTAAAGGGTTAAGATTTTTTCTTTCATTAATGTATTGCAAACTGTACATAACTAGTAAAGCAGATCCTATTTAATGGTTCAGAGATGACCTTTCTACAAGTAACTGGAGTTGAGGCGATGGAAGGTATTATTGCATGCTCAGTGTATTGTAGCATAGTATTTAAAAGTTTCCTGTTTCTGAATTCCAGCAGTGGATAACTCTTGTATTCCAGCACTGTTATTTTCCAGCCCCTCTCAGCTGTTCTCAGTTTCTCAGCAGGAGTTAACTGTTGTATTCCAGTAATGTTAGTTTCCAGCCCTACACAGCTGTTCTGAGATTACCAGCAAGGAATAAATATTCTTTTACAGTACTTACTTGTATTTTCCAGCTGGAGGTTGTATTTTCCAAGCTGTTCTGTCATTTTTGTTTTCCAGCTGGAGGTAACTGTTATTTCTAAGCACAATTATTTTCTGGCCTCTCTAGGCTGATTGGAGTTTTCCTGCTCAAGTTGACTGTTATTTTCTGTAAAACAGAATAATATACATAAGGACCCAGGCATGAAGTGAAGAAACCTTCCTTGGAAACCTTGGAAACAAGACAATGTTTTTAATTGCTCAGATCAAAACCAAAAAATTTTATTGTTTGTTAAAAACATGTCCATTTTAGGCCACTATTTCTCAAGTTGGCTAAAAATTATATCTGCTACAAGGGAGAGTGAGGGAGAGTGTTGACACTCATTTAATGAATAGAGTAGCTTTTACATAACGAACTATATAAACATTATATACATAGGTATGTTGTCTTGTTGATGATGTCTGTATGGTCTTGTTTGATTTTTACCTTTGCCTTGCTCCAAAATATGAAATTGTGCCCTGGACAACATTAAATTTGGGGCACAGTGCTGCGATTTCTGATAGAGTATATTTAAAGCAATTACTGATGGCAAAGGAATTAATTGGTACTTCAATGATGAATGTAGAGCACAGCAATCAATGTAAACCATCGTACCAAAAAACATGGTGACTGGTACATTCATCTAGAACTCTTTGCACAAGAAAATCCTGGAACCACTCAAAAAGTCAAGCACAAAAAATCGGAAAAATTTAAAATTTGCATACATAATGTTGTTGTTTTGCGAAATATTGCTTTCTACATGTGTCTTACCCTAAGAATAAAGGTAAAATTTACAGGCACCATCTTTGTCTGTAAGTGGATTGAATCTATTGGGTAAACACTAGAAAAAATAATAATATTGATACAAATAGGCTGAGGGTTTAGTATAGGTATGCTGTGGTTTAGTTTTATCCTTAGTTTATTCTTTTACTTTTAAAAGAGGCCAAATTGATAGTGATACCGTAATTTCCGGTCGATTACCCGCACGGCCGATTACCCGCACCGGCCGATTATTGCATACGGCGAAAAAAAAAGTCGACGGATTACCCGCACCGGTGGATAACCCGCACGTTGTTATTCAACTTTTTCGGTGGCGAAAACGTGACATTAAGGCGATACATTTCAGTCTTTCGATTCAGACATGTGCACAATTCTGTGTCAATATTAGCTTATACTTTATTGATTGATTATTGCTGCTGCTCTATTACCGATTTCATCGGCAAGAGTTATTACTCTAAGCTTATAATCAAACGTAAAACTGTGACGTGGGCGTTTCACAGCAGGCATTTTAACTTAATTGGTGACTCGTGGATACACTTATCGCGAATGATCGAGGTTTATAATTCTTATTCAGTCAGTTACCTTTTTATAGCATGTAGGAGCGTAATGAGCAATATCCATTGTTCATTTGTCGTTAAAATACTTTTTCAGCGCGAAATTAGTTAAGTTTCGCACCTATTATTTTCAACATTCTGGTGATGCATTTGGGATTTAAAATTACTGTCGGCAATTTCTCAAAAAAATCGATATCTCCTGTTCTACTGGGCCTAACAAGTCCCTTAAAACGGGAAAATTCTCTTTAGCTCAAGCTAGTGAAAACTGGAAATTTGTTACTGATGCGCCGGATATCCTTGGATTATTTTTGTCACCATCAAGGTTTTGTTTTCACGCGTGCCGATAAAAATTTGTTTGTCACGCAACTAATTATGCGTGAAATAAACTCGAGTTGGCATCATGTTTTCGTGCCGCTTTGTGGCACTTTTGATACAAAAAAATTCATTTGAGAGGTGGAAACGCAGGTAGGTGAGAAATTTTTTCAATTCAACTTCCAGAAGAATTTAAAATTGTCACATAACCCGCACCTCCCTATTACCCGCAGTGGCGCGGATTTAATGCAAAATCAACAGATTACCCGCGGGTAATCGACCGGAAATTACGGTATATCATCTCACCATAACTTAGGCTAGGAGCTAAATTTTATCTTTCTCTACACAAAAATGCATTTTCATTCATATCATTAACAAAACCAAAGGAAACTGATTTTTACACCAAGGACAAGCACAACAGATACCTTTCATCTGCACTTTTGTTTACTTTGCTTTGCTGCTGGTACTCATCCATGCCTGTATGAATGATATTAAGTAAGGGTGAAAGGATTGGTATTTTCTTCACAAAGATAGTTGCAGAGAGTGTCTCCATTGATATATGGATTACCAGACACTCACAATGAACGCCAACAAGACCAAGTTCTTGCTAACAAGTGTAGGAGCAATAATCGCTAATAATGGGCAATAGTCTGTATTGAATTAAGTATTCATTTGTGCATGAATTAGTATTTATTTCATTTTAATGTTTGTAACACACAATTGAAAAAGTATGCAAAATGTGGTAACAAAATACATATCATTGTGGTATTCCTCATAATTTAGTTCAAGGGGCTTTATTCTAAATAGATCAAAAGAAAGAAAGTGGCATATGTCAGCCACTGATTTAAATAGAAAAGCACATATTATTAAGTGATGAGTAATTTTGCTGCAAATTTGTGCCCTTCTGGGTGAGCAAAGAGAATGATGACCCAACTGTTACTTGCTGCAGAGCGTTAGGAGCCAGCACCCTATCGTTTATAAGAGACCAGATCTTCATCATATGTGTAAGCAGTTTGTAAGTTAACTTTCCAGGATATGTGAAGTTTAACATCGACCATACATCCTAGCTGAATTTTTGCGTAGCCACATACATTTACAATGAATACATGTCTTCCACTGTACCCATAATAGCCACCAGTGTAGACACTATGAGACTGCTACATGCAACAAAATACAAATTATTGAGGCTGGAAGAAAATCACAAGTTTTTGATCATTGAAACACCGAGAGCTGTCCTGGTTTTTAATAGACGTGTAATATCTGGTGTTGCATGTCCCAAACAAAATAAAAAAAGTCAGTCCTCGACACAGAAGGATTCAATGAATCCAGGTATCATGCAGCTACATGAAATCTACTGGAATTTAGCACAAAACTTGGACGCGATCTTTAAAGAATGGTTGTAATATTTAAAATTTAAAAAAAACTAGCATGAAGTGCAACGCAAACCTTACCCTATTGTACTAGCTCCAACAGAAAAGTAAGGAAAGCCATGAGGCAATGTCAAATTCTCGTCTTCCTAGGCTTTCCAACGTATGGAAGAAAATTTCCCAAATACCTCGCACTTAAAAACGCAACCAGAATCTTACTCTTTCACCAATTCGAAGCGTCCCAAAAGGTGTCAAGGATAGCCCATGAAATTCTCAAACTTCGAGCGCGGAAATTTTAACGATCTTTTTACACTTTTGCTTTGCATCCCTCCCTTAGTTGGGAAGTGACACGCAGAAGACACGATCACAACGCACTTTGATTGGAAGAAGTAAAACTGCATTCTATTAGTTATAATGTGTGAGGACATAACCACAACGGAAGACACAACTGCAACGCTACAGAGGGGTAAGTAGTTTCCAACGAACCTGTGGTGCCGTGTCGGTGGGGTGGTGTAACAAGATAATTTGGTTTTATCAAATGAGTTGATAATGTAATTTGGCCACAGACGTTTCGAGCGCTAGCCCTTCACTAGAGCAAACTGTCAGCTTAGAAACTCTTTACTGTGGCCAATTTACATCAACTCAATTAATAAACCAAATTATCTCAGAGCTGAGATGTCGGTTGTCTCAGGAGTCATCCCTTGATTATGACTATACCGCAGAATAGGCAAAATATTCTTGAGTTTTTCGGGCAAGCGAGAGACGAGAACGAAGCACAAGTCACGCATGAGGGGAGGAAGAGAGCAACAGCGTGAGGCTCTTCGAGTTAGGTTACTTCCCACCCTCAGAGGCCGAGTCTTTCATTTGACTAAACTGAATTCAAACCTAAAGGCATCCGAGCTATTCAGAAGAACATATTTTCAAATAAAAGTTATTAAATCAGGAATGATCTCGGACCTAAGAGAATCCCTGAGGGGAGTTTCGCGGCAACCGCCCATCATGATGTTGGGGCTCGTTTTTCATGTTATTTCCATATTTTATTTACATCGCGCACTTGACAAAATTCACACGTGGGGCTCTTTACTTATGGAAAAATCTTTGCTCAGGAAAAATCAAAGGTGGAAGAAAGTCCTCGGTAAAAAAAAAAGGCCATTGAAGAAAGAGAGAAAAAAGAAAGAGTACCATTCTGTCCAGAAAAGAAATTCCTTTGTGAAAGCGACTGGTACTGTTGGAGCTCCATACTGGCGTCAGATTTCGAACAGAGAAGTCGCCGTCAGACCAAAATTTGCCATATAATGTATTTTCCGTTGGTATTCGAAGTAATTAGGCGTACTTGTTTTGCTTTGACACCTGGCACTCCCTTTATTGTGCCTTCTACGCTGTTATTGGTCGGCTTCTAGTACTTATACTCTCTACTGTTCACTGTACACCATTCCCGTTTGCGGTTTCCTACTTCACAGTTTTACGTCTTTTCGCGAGTGTTTTTTCAAGCGTGTGCTTCTAATGTCCAGCGAACAAGAGCAAACCGAAGGTTCTTCCCGCTCAACAGATACGACCCAACCGGTTCATGGTGGTGGCAACTCGGCATCTGTCGAGCAGGTTTTCTCAATGTTTAAAGATTACCTGGAGAAGAAATTGGAGGTTAAAACCAAGCAGATCGAGCAAAAGAGCAAAATAGACAAAGAAGTCGTGCAATTGAAATACAAGGGCAACCAGAAGCAGTACGAGCTCAATGCAGAATTGGATTCCATCACTGAAAGCATAGAAACCGAGTCAGAGCGCGGCGAACCAAATTTACCGCTGATTAAGAAGTATTCTCAGGAGGCCAGGGAGCTTATTCGCAAACGGCAAAAGCTAATAAAAATTGCCGACAAGAGCAAGGACGGTTGGCAAGTTGTGGCCGAATACGAATCCGATGAGTTGGCGTCCGACTCCGAAGATAAGAAACGGCTCAAAAAGGCTAGGGAAACGGCGAGTCGAAAGAGACGACAAAAGGACCAACTCACAAGCCGGAGTGGAAAGAAAGCAAGAGCCGCTGTGGGTTCTGATAATCAGCTTTTTCGTGGTAAGAAAAATTGCCTACAATTTACTTTGTGATTTCATATGGTTTTGGATCCGCTTACGCATCCTACCATACTGCTTGAGTGATTTATTTATTACAGGAATTTAAGGGTAAAATAATTTACGTTCGTTTGAGCGAAGCGAATTAGAACGTAAATGTATTTTCAGCTGGTATTCGAAGTAATTAGGCGTACTTGTTTCGCTTTGACACCTGGCACTCCCTTTATTGTGCCTTCTACGCTGTTATTGGTCGGCTTCTAGTACTTATACTCTCTACTGTTCACTGTACACCATTCACGTTTGCGGTTTCCTACTTCACAGTTTACATTTTCGCGAGTGTTTTCCCCCCCCCCCCCCCTCTGCTTACTACGTTTTCTTTTATTACTTTTATTCTGGCCGTAGAGGCGCTTCTTGCGACTACTCACGTTGCTACAAGTGTGGAAAACTTGGGCACTGGGCTAAAGACTGCAAATCCATGTTCTGGCCAGGAAGTTACCAGTTTCCTAACTACAATACTTACCCTGGACTCTCCTACAACAAGCCAGCCGGAAGCCATTCATCTCAATACCAATCAAAGCAGTGAAGAGGACTTGGCACAGGTAGAAGAAATCGTACAGAAATACGAACTTGAAAGCGGACAGTCTTTAACCGTTAAGGGTAATTTGAAGAAAAATCAAGGGTTTTGGAGATCTATTGGTGCTCCAAATTTCATTTTGACTATTATTGAAAAGGGCTACAAATTACCATTTGCTAGCCTTCCATCAGCTGTAAGGCTAATTAAAGAATAATAAGTCTGCTCGACTTCATGCTAGTTTCGTTGACCAAGCTGTTCTTGAGTTAGTAAATTCAGGTCAGGTTTGTAGGGTTGATAAGCAACCTTTTATTGTCAACCCCTTATCAGTGTCTATTCAGCCATGTGGCAAAAAGAGATTAATTCTTGATTTACGTCACGTTAACATGTCCCTAATTAAACAATCAAATACGAGGATTGGAAAATTGCTATGGCTTATTTTGCCAAGGATTCGTACATGTTTTCTTTTGACTTGAAAAGTGGCTATCACCATATCGAAATTTCGCAGGATCACCAAACGTTTTTGGGGTTTTGTTGGCGTGCTCCAGATTCCAATAACGAAGTATTTTACGTTTTCACCGTTCTTCTGTTTGGTTTGTCTACAGCTCCCTATATTTTCACAAAGTTTCTTAAACCTTTAGAGAAACATCGGAGAATACAAGGTACTTGCATAGCTATTTTCTTAGATGATGGTTGGGCGATAGTTCAGGACAAAGAAGGTTGTCTTCTTAAGGCCCAAACCGTAAGGCAGGACTTGTATGGTGCGGGTTTTGTAGTGAATGAAGAGAAATCGGTATGGGAACCTACTCAAATTTTGGACTGGTTAGGTATAACCTGCAATTCTTTATTGGGTACTCTAAGAATTGTAGAGAGAAGAATTACTAAGATTGCCAACACAATAGATCGTATTATTGAGGCCGATTTTAAACTTTCTGCTAGAGAGCTGGCTTCTTTCACGGGTCGAATTATCTCTACTTCGCCTGTGGTTGGAAACATTGGTAGGATAATGCCCAGACATTGCGTTATGTCTACCTTGTGTGTAGATAATTGGGATTCAGTATTTTGTCTTGATGATTATTGCAAAGAGGAATTATATTTTTGGAAAGATAATTTGATTAACCTCAACAGCAGATATTGCTTTGTAAGTAAAGATCCTTGTTATTTTGTTTACTCAGATGCTAGCGCCACTGGAGGCGGTGCATTCATTGACTTTAACAATGACTTTGTGTGTCACAAATTGTGGACGGAGAACGAAAGTTTGCAAAGCTTACAATCAAACTCCCCAAATTCTTTTCAAGATTCTGGAATCCCAATACTGCAGGTGTCGATTTCTTCTTTCACCCTCTTGGCGGGGAAAATTGTCCAGTGGTTCCACCCGTGGGTATTGTTCCACGTGTTTTGCATTATATGAAGTGTCAGTATGCCGTTGGTACACTTGTTGTACCCTTCTGGCCTTCAGCTCATTACTGGTCATTAATTATGCACAGATATGGTGATTCTCTTGTGGCCCACGTTATTCGTGCTGGGAGGGAGGTTCTTATTCATGGAAGAAATCATAATTCGCTGTTAGAGTCTCACCAATTCACAGGCTATATTATCGCCCTAAGAATGGAATTTACTGAGTAACAATTTGGACTTGTTCATCAAGTGTGTTGGCACTGGCCTTAGCAATGGTTTGATTTCATGAGGCACTGGCCGAAACAATGATTTGCATCTTGTGGCACTGGCCTAACAATGATGTCTTGTTTTAAGGACACTGGCCCAGACTCCGGCCCAAACAATGATCCATTGGGTACTTTGGGATTCCCATCTTATTGTCACTATACTAAGGGCGTGCGTTTTGTTCCTTTTAGTTTGTATGTTGTGTTCTTGTTTTTTTCAGATAATTTCTTCAAGCAAGTCATGGAAAGGTTCCCCAGTTCTTTCGTCATTGAATGCCAATCAGGTTTTAGACGTGATGTTACGCGGATGCTGAACAATTGCTGAAGCGAATTAGAACGTAATAATGTTTAAAAAGATGTCTCCTTTTCTTTCTGCAAGTATCAACCTTAATACAAAAACATTAACAATCGCCTTGAATCGTAATTTTGAAAGCTATTTGTCGATTCTTTGTCTTGTCTTCCTTTGCCTTTGGCAACTTTGCTCATTATTGTGTCGTCCTCCTCAACGCTCCACTGAGCGATCGAGATAAAAAATATCAGGAGCCCATTGCCCTGAAAATATACATGTGTCTGCAATGGATTACTTCTCCCGGGAAATCTTGATCCCTCTTCATTGACGGCGGGAGGTCCCGTTGACCCGTTGGTTTGCGGTTTCGGTTTCAGGAGGCAAGATAATAGGGACCTTAAGCAAACCACGACGGCGACGGCAACGAGGACATGGAAAAACAAAAGATCTAATTGGCAGAACAATAGCTCATCACGTGCGTTTTAAAACTTTGTACATTTCTTAGCCGTCCTATGCAAAACAACAACGTGAAATCACCACAATTTGCGTCGTCTACGAACCGAAACCGCGACGGCAAATTTTTGTAATTTCCACTTGGAGCTCAACGTTTCCTTTATACGTTATGCTGAAGTTGAGGTGTGGCGCCCTGGGAGAAGGCAAACACATGCGGTCATTTTCAGATAAATGAATGCTAAAAACAAGGTGTATAAATCTGTAACTTGCTTCCGAAATTGGCATGTTGTAGGCGTAAGAGCAGTCCAAGATGTTGAAAGCCACCAAAAGATACACAACTTCGGTAAAACACTTCATTACTTGTGATAAAACTACGAATTTATCAAACCGTTCGACACAATCAATCTCTGACTAATAAGAAATACTGCTGGCGAAGGTATGTGTGAGCCCGCACCATCTAGCTTTTTACTTCCGCTTGAACCGGGAATGAAAAAAAAACGTGGAACCAGAAGAACCAGAAGAACCACGAGAACCACGAGAACCAGGAAAACCAAGGGGACCACGAGGACCACGAGGACCACGAGGACCACGAGAACCAAGAAAACCAAGGGAACCACGAGAACCACAAGGACCAAAAATACACAATTACCGTTACTAAGAGTTATATTATACGAAGTCCGATAGTACAAGAACCACAAGAACCAGAGAACTACCGAGAACTACACAATTACCGTGACTCAGTGTTAGATTTATGCGAAATCCGATAGTAAGCGTTCATGACGTCAGCTGTGGCTATTACACCAGAGATCAGCCTGCAAAGTTTCCTTCTAGATTAGCCGCGAGTTTCAAAACAATCAAGATAGATTCACGAGACCTTGCAGCCCGCAATGTTTTAGTTGGAGAGAGAGAGAAAGGTGTAAAGTGACAGACTTTGGGATGGCCAGAGATGTCCAGCAAGAAAATATCTATGGACGAAAGACGAAGGTAATCCAACAATTTATACGAGTATTACATCAACTATCAACGTCTTTGATTTGTCGCCTTTTATAAATTTGGACCTGTTTCACAAAGTATGATTGAAATATTTAGGGTCGCCTTCCAATGAAGTGGACAGCTTATAAGGCGCTGTTGTATGGAAGATATACCACCAAAAGTGATGTGTAAGTACATCATTACCCATAGCAATGAATTCTAGCATTTATTTTCCAACAAACTTTTTTTTATGGAAATGAATTTCATTCATGACAATTTGTCTATGTCTTCAATTATCTAAGTTACATACGTTTGATTTGCCTGTCTGTAGATGGAGCTATGGAGTTGTGCTTTTCGAGAATTTCACCATAGGTAACATCCAATGAACGTTTGACTCTGTAGATATTTCTTTATACCGGTTTGATTTAACAACTTCTACTGTTTAGGTAAACAAACGTAATGAGTTTTCCCTTGCAGATTCTTACTTCATCAAGTGACAGTGGTGTTGTTTTGTAACATCTATATTTCGATGGTGTTGTGGTTCTCCGTCAGGTGGTTCACCTTAACCAAGAATGGACGGAAAAAAAATTGCAAACGTACTTCAGGAGGGATACAGGATGCCTAAACCACAACATGCGTATGAAAAATTGTAAGTTTTCTTCCATTTTTGATTCGTTCTCTTTTATTGCAAAAGCAAACGTTCCTTAAATCTCTACCAGATCAATTTTGAAAAATAACAGGTATCAGATCATGATGAAATGCTGGAAGAATGACTCGGATGCCAGACCAACTTTCACTGAGTTGAAAAAACAGCTGACATGGAAACCATGCATAAGGTGAGAATTGTTAAAAACATGAAAGTTTCCATTTATGCAAGAGCTACTGGCTTAAGCTCAGCTAATTAGGGTTTCAAACTTAACAGCATTGAGCCTAGATAGCGTAGTAATATGTACTCATCTCTATAATTTTTGTGAAGTTTGGATTGCATCTTCTTGTTGTGTCACTGAAGCTAGCACTCCACGAAAAACAGCGAAGAAGCGAACTAGAATGTTTCAATGACAATTGACACTTTATGGTTATTTAAAAGGTCCTAGGATAATTGCAAAATTGCTTTGAGATGCACAAAGAGTAGCAAACGCCATATAATACTTTCTCCTTGAATTTATATTGGTGTGAAAACCTGAGCAATTGTGAGGTAACCGCTTATAACGTAAGAGGAACACTTTTTTAATGATGCTGACTATTGTATCAAATTTCTCAGGAAAAGTTGAACAACATGACAAAGTACGACAAGCAGTTCTATGCAAACGTCAAGGACTTAATAGTGTAGTTAGATACACGTCCGCGGTATATGACTGATTAACAGTTTGAATACTTTGCCACAACAAGTTTCATGGATTAATCATCTTTTCCTCACACGCTTACTTGGTAGAAATAGCCATGTTGTGTTAAGCAATTAGGCTCGAACGTTTTGATTCAATTGACTCTACTCCTAAACGCTGAAACGCTTTTATAGGTTTACCGATTAAGTGTACTCTCAGTTTCTCTTTAAGGTATTAAGCACTTACACGTATGCTCGACAGAAGCGTTTGAGTTCGTTTTCTTTTCTGGCTCAATTCTAAAAGCGTGGAAAGAAAAAAATCTAATTTACCAGATTGATGAGATCTCGCTCTGAGTGCCATAGTTGTGTACAATTTCACTAAATTGCTAGAAAAATTTCTGCCGCTAACTCGTTTGTTTGCAGGAAAGCTATCGTGCACATAAATTGCTTTCCCTAAGACTGCCTTTACCTGCGATACCAACTCGAAATAATTTTACGCTTAAAGTATTAGTAAAACTAACCATGTTCTGATCAAAATTATACGCGACACATTACTTCTGCAAGAAAGTTTGTTGTTTCGCCTAGTAGCCCGATAGTTTTCGTGTACCAGATACTGTTACTCAACGAAACTACATTGTACGAGCTAAAGCCTTTTTTTTCTTGGACACGTTAATTAATTTTTTTTTTACAATAAAAGTGTTGAAAAGTTCGGAGTTGACTCTGTCTGCATGATGATGCCGTGCATAAATTTACATACTTAGCTCCACGACATTGATCTAACCAAATCAACGTTACGTGGGCGTAAGAGAGCTTGCCGAAGTGCAAAAATCGCTTTTTTTACATGTTTCAGGAGACTTACATCCAAGAGACCACGTTCTCCTGTCACTCTCGGTTGAGGTGAAGGGTCGATCAATCTTACATAATTATGAATTAGGTTACCTTTCGGTCAAAACCTTCTTTCCTCAGCTGCACTAGACAATTACACTAGAAACAGTACTTAACATGAAAACAACGCTATTTCAGTCTGGAGTAGAGGTTGCTTGAGAAATGGTCTTAACGTTCAAATGGAGGAGAGTTTTGCGTCTGTTTTGAAATATCCACTGTCTTCATTTTGCCTCTGGAAGCTCTTGATGCTCCAGTATACAAAGGAGAGGGGGTGAAATAGAGGGGGGTTTCGTCTTAGCTTTTCAAAATTGATTCTCTGAAAGTTTTATATAAATTTTAAATTTAAATTTTTTTTGCCTTTTTTTTGCTAAATGACGCTACTTTTAGCTTTATCGCAGCGAAAAACGGTCTTTTGCCTGTTTGCAGCTGGTCACAGTAATGTGAGCTATCTAACCAGAAACAACGTTTTTGCGCTTTTGAAGCGTTGTCACACCGCAAAAAAGGTTTTCTGCTTGTTTTTCTCTAAACCTTTATAGCTCTAAATGAGACTTAATCAGTCAAATCAATTAAGCTAGTTTAACTTTTTAACTTCTTGAACCAACTGACCTTCATTATAAAGATTCTGCGATGAAACCATTTAAGCTTGTTATGCACTATGTCCAGTTGAACCATTTAAGCTAGTTTGACCATTTGAACGACGTTAGCCAATTAAGATAAATTGTGAAATTTGTGCATTTAACTGTTCCCGCTGGTTTGGCTGTCTAACTGGTTGAACTAATTAAGCTGCTTTGATCATTTAAACTACCAGAACCAATTCAGCTGGGTTGTGTGGTTTATGCAGTTAGCAATTGAAGGTAATTTGACCATTTGAACTACTTCACCCATTTATGAGATTGTACAGTTTGTTCCGTTCAACGATTTTTCGGACAAAATGGTAACTGCCCTCAATATAGCGCAACTGTACAATGTGCGCAATGTGATTTTAATTGATTCAAGTAGTTAACATAATCAAACTAGTTTAATTGGTTAAACTAGTTAAGTGGTCAAACTAGGAAAAACAGTCAAACTACAAGAATTGCGAAATCTATCTTAATTGGTTAAATCAGTTCAAATGGTCAAACTAGATAAACTAGATTAAATGGTTCAACTGCACAAAATGCGTACCTAGCATGTATACCTCAACTACGAAAACTTAACAGTCTAGTTTAATTGCTGCAAGCAATTAAAATGGTCCAAACAGGCATCAATTAATCAACTGCACAAACGGCACAATCGCGCAAAGTTAATTAGGTCAACTGGTTAAATAGTCAAACTAGGGAAAACAGTTAAATCTAACTTCATTGAGTGAAGTAGTAGAAATAGTCAAAACAGCTTTAATGCTTCATCCGCACAAAGTCCATGACTAGCTTAATTGGTTTAACTGGTAAAACAGTAAATCTAGGGAAAACTGTCTAACTGCACAAACTGCGCGATCCATCTTAATTGGTTGAAGTAATTCAAATGGTTAACTTGGCTTGAATGGTTCAACAAAATGCACAAGTAGCCTAAAAGGCTCACAGCGCAAACCGCACAATCCAGCTTAACTGGTTGAGGTGGTTAAGATTGTCAAACTGGTTTAGTTGGTTCAACTGGTTAAATAGACAAACTAAGGAAAATTTTAACCTGCACCAATTGCGCAATATATCTTTAAATAGTGAGTGAATGGTCACGCGTTGGAAAGGCCCAAAGGAGTATTGTAGTGAAACTTGAATCTGGCGAATATGTAAATTTCCTTTGGAGACATGGTTTCTTGATAAATCGCTCGATAAATCGCTACAACTTAGTCTCGAACAGGTAGAAGCATAAGGGCCAGGATTTTTCGGAACGTCAATAAATATTGTAATGTCCACTGGTGGGTCGTGGCCAGGGATTGGTAGCGACGTTAACCCATACTTACTAGATTTAGATACCGGGAATCTTGATCTTGCGAAACTGACTGAAAGCAATCGACGAGTAAGCGGTATTGGCACACCAAAACCCGCCGCCATCACTGACAAGCGAGTCTCATTACCATTTCCAACACAAGGACGTGAAGTTAAGGTAAATAAGAGAATCAATTGGCTGAAGAATACAGGAGCCAAAAGATTCGTGGCCGCCATAATCGGCGCCTGCGCAAAACTCATGGTCATGATCGCCATCGCATGGTCATGGTCATGGTCATGTACGTGTCCCGAAGCGTCTGCCGCCTGATTGCAAGAACTCAGTCCCTGTGGACCATCGAGAACTGGCGGTCACGCAACACTCCGTCAGAGAAGCCGTGGAAATATTTCAAAACCGCCCTTACGCCTTTTATGGAAATTACTATTCATACTATCGTATTTGGCTATCGACACCGTGAAGATTCAAGAGTATGATGAGTCTTGCAAGAGAATAACTGTTTTTCCCGATAGTTTGATGATGGCGATCAACCCTCGCCCACTAATTTTTTTAATGACACGAAGTTAGTCAGTATTCTCACCGATTTGAAAGTGATTCTGGGAGGAGTCCTTCCAAAGTCTAATATAAAATGTGACCCTGTTCAAGCGCCCTTTTACGTGAACAATTTCGACTTAGTCACTAGTCTCCGCCGCGCAACACACCGCTTATATTCCTTGCAAGGAGTAACTAATCTTTTGGAATGTGACAGTTTCCTACGCCGTTTTTACGTTTACTCCACTGGAATCCCCGCGCGGATGTTTTGTCCTACACGTCATTACGCCAATAGTCTGCAGGAATGCAAATCATGGGCACGTGCTACCTGCCGTGTGGTGGCACCCGATGAACTCGCGTGTCTGCGGTTACGTCAGCCACGTAGTCCTTTTATGTGCCATGTGGGAGTTTTTGGCTTATTTCGGGCATTATACCATGTTTTTACCAGAAAAAGTTGCGATGCCCCGCAAGGCCCTAATTTAATCTCTGTCCTTCGCCAAACAACAGGCGCGATGTTTGTTAATCAACAACTTACGCGTGTGGTCAATAGAAAAGTAACTTACCTCGTTAAGACAACGGATACACTTAACACGAAAGTTAAACAAATAATTAACTCCATGCGTGCCTTGGATCGCTCGTTTACCACCTGGAACCAGCAGGTTGTCGAGCAATTCAAAGAAGAATAACGCCACTATCACGCTAACATGGAATTTTTATCGCTATACTCTCTTCAACTGAACCGCGTTATGAGCACTATGTTACGGCTTACAAAAATAGAATATGTTTTAAGCCAGCTGTCACATCTCACCCGCAAGGATCTCATTACCTTTGCAAATTTACCATGCTCCTTAACAATGGAACTAAACGTTCGACTAGCCGCAATTCCGACATTTGTCCATACTCTCGATGTACTGAAATCGGGGTTTGCAGCGATCATCCAGCCTTTGGTGGATCATGAGTATCAACATAGTGAGAAACTTCAGCTGAATTTATTATTTACGCTTCCAGAAATTTCGTCGTCTCAATCGCTTTGTACCATAGAACAATTGAGGCCAATTACATATCGACATAATGAACATTGTTTTGGCGGGCCGCTACCTTTTGATGACCTGTTGTTGTTAACCTGTGACAAAAAACGCTTCCTGCTCAGAACACCAGAACTGGACAATTGTTTTGAAGACGACACCACCATTCTTTGTCCTGGAAATCTTTTGCATACCGTCCAACAGCCAACCTGGCTCGGTCATCGAAGATTGCTTTCAAACAGTTTCATCAAACTCTCTCACACTGTCGCCATACACCATTAATGTTATTACTTGGTGGCTGTTACTATCTCAGCACTGAGACTCAGTGGTTGAACAATCTAACAATTGGTAAAACCATGACCTATTACTTCCAGGTGACCCAGCTAATGCGTGAGATGTCGATTTTCCAGCTACAGCAAACTGCTTAGGATCAAGATTATTAATTATAGGGCGAGAAATTCTAGAAAGGGTGAAACCCTCCATAACTTTAGCTAACTGACAAGTTAATGACACAGGTCTTATATCATTTTCGATTGACATTGGGGCATCTGCTTAGGAAAGGATCTGACATCTGCACACTTGAATAACTCCGGTAAATAACCCTCCATAAGGGACGAATTGTACAGATGGGCGACAACAGGAGCAAGCTCGAAGTCAATTGTCAATTGTGGCGCCAGACCATCTGCACTGGGCTCTGTGCCAAGTGCAATTGGCTTTCATGCAAAGAAGACGTCCCCGTTCCCACCAGTCCGGATCTGGACGAAAGGGCTCCAAAACTCGTGTTTTGTCGCGACTCTCCTCCCGCAACAAGCGCCGGAAATTCACAATTTGGAAGACATAGGATGCCCAGCAATCCAGAGGCTGCTACACGAACTAAACGACCGCGCGACTCTGGATACATTGTCAAAGGCTCTCTCCCTGGCTGCTTGAGTCGAGGACCACTACACCCACGAACAGTCGTAGGCTGCGATATCTTCATTTTAGATAACCTCGACCTGATCTTCATTTTTCTCGCTGTATTTTAACTTAATTACATTTCTTACTTGCTTGTTGATTCTTTCTGACCCCCGAGGCCATTATATTTCGGCTTGTTCGGTCTATGTCGCGGTTCAGGCACAAAACAAAATCAAATACAAAATCCATAAAACACAAAACAAAACAAACAAAAAAAAAACACCCTTAATACGTTTACGTCGCTGTGCTTTTAGTTTCTTGTCACTGATTCCTTTTCACTCGACCAGGAGGTCTCGATTTAAGCTGGGAGGAATGTAACGATAGGATTTTAAGTTATCGAGTTTTTATGCTAACACTAAAAAAAAAAAAATATATATATATATATAAATGTGGGGCAGAGTCTACCTTGGCATAAAGTGCTCAATGCTGTGGTAGCAGAGCTGGGGTATATATAAGTGAAGGAATCAAAGAGGACGCATCGATTCTCTGTTACTCTGAGTTTCGCGCCTAAACGCTCGTCTGACGAGCGAAACTCAGAGTAACAGAGAATCGATGCGTCCTCTTTGATTCCTTCACTTATATATATATATAAAAAAATTCAACGTAGAAATTGTGAGATCTTGCTAAGTTCAGCAAAGCGTGAGTGCTACCAGTTCCTATTCAGTCAACTGTAAACAATTGTTATTAGATCATAACTGTAATTAGTGTTAAACTGTAACCGTCACCTGTTATGTCCTTTTGTGTAGTTGTTATCCACTAGAGCTTTTCGAAAGTGATTAATCCTGTAAAAGGCGAAATTCCTGTCTAACCAATCGTTGTAGTAGATTACGTAATCCTTTAGATAATTCATGGCATTACCTAATCCTTTGTACTTTGGTCTTAAATAGAGCTGGTTTGTAGAGTTTCCTTTTGCCAAAAAGTGCAGTAGAGCTTGCAGAATAAATCTATGTTGGAGCCAACCTTGTTGTTGTTAGTCATTGTCTCAAGGATAGTCAACTTAACAAATAGATTCCAAGTTGCCGTGCATCTGTTCAGTAATAGATCACAGATGACGTCAAATGTGGTAAGAACAAAAAAGTGGCACACGAGGCGCAGCCGAGTGTGTCGCTGATGTTCTTACCACATTTTGACGTCCTCTGTGATCTATTACTGAACAGACGCACGGCAACTTGGAATCTATTTGTTTTATATAATAAAGAATTAAAAAAAAGTTTTAACGATGACGTCATCTATGCGTCTGTCCTCCAATAGATCATAAGTGAGAACCAATCAGAATGCGTGCATAACTGAGCTTATTATATAAAACCGTAGTAGATCCCGGCCTTCCCGCAACCAGCGAGTGCCCCCAGGAAAGCCTTTTTCCCAGAGGAAGTTTATAGAGTTGTTCCCGTCCGTCCGTTTATTTTTGTTGGCAAAAACCTGTTTTCACATTCGTCCGTAGGCGTGAAAAGTTAAGAACGTGGATATGTCAGTCAGTAATATACATGAAAATGCTATTTTATAGATAGGGTCATCGCCTCAGACTGATGACGTCATCCAAAAGATTGATGAGGATACAGAATGGTTTCAATCTAAACTGACTTGGTAATTAATAAATAGTCATAAGATATGCCTCTAATCTTTTTTATTGTAGATATTAAACAGACAGTTTTACATTATGTTAAATACAACTAATTGTGTTTGATAGCGTGCAAAATTAAGCGCTCATACGTGCTCTCATTTCGTCCGTTTTTAAACAAGCATTCCATTTTGCCATAACAAAATGTTTCCGTCCACCACAGTATGAACCCCTCAAATGGCGTTTTTTTTTTTTCTCATACGAATCGAAAAACACTTGAGAAAATTATTAATTTGAATTAACCCACACTCTATTAAAACGATTCTCTCCGTTTATAACAAAAGCATTTAATACTAACATCAAAACGGTAAATGTCAAAACAATGCAATCGCTTGTTTTCAAATAAAGGTAACTTAAAAGTTAAACAAATCACTAGAAGTGATGCAATGTGTAATTTAAAGAGGATACTTCGTTAAGTGATACCTTAGTGCTAGTTAATACCACACGACTAATTCATTACCAAACAACAAAATTTTACTAAATCTCATATCGCCGTTAGGAGATCTCTTACTAGGTCCGCTACAAACAAAATTACTAAATGGTTTCATAATACAACAACGAAAAGCTCACCAAGTACAGCTATCGACATAAACGAGCCGTTTTTCAAGAAGGTTATTTTCTGTTTCTTTCCTTCTTTTCCTCTGATTTAATCGATTACGGAAGTTTAATTCATATCTATCCAATTTTCCTTATTCTGAAACCGATGAAATTATTTATTATTGGCATTCTTAAAGAATTAATTAATTAGTTTTTTTTGTGCTTTTAATACTATCATTTTGTTAATCAAAGACAATGCTTTCAAATATTTTTCTAATACTTATATGGAGAGAAATTTAACAAACACAAACCTACACTTAGTTTAGCACCGAGAGGTGACGATTATGTACCCTAACGACGGTCACTGGCCCATTTTCCTAATCTCTTAGCTGAGGCCTTCTTTGCAACTTTCTCACTTGGTCCTGCATCTTCACCTCCGAGATCTTCAACCCTGGAGTATTTTGCCTTGTCATAAGCGCCCATGTTAAGAAGTTCCACGTATGTCTTAGGAATAAAATAACAAATGAGGGTTACACATTAGCTGCAGAGCGCTAAAACACAGTTAAGTCAAACTGAAAAGTGCGATCACTTCCCCGGCGTACTGAGAATCTCTTTGGTTTAAAGTCGCGGATAAACTAAGTGCGTTTCTTATTTCCTCTCTAAAAATAGAAAAGTTGCAGATAGGTGGGTAGAACTGAGCAGATTTATGTCCTGGGGATGATCACAACCGCTGTAAATATCAGAAGGAGCCAACAAGTTGAAATGCTCGTAAATGGCCTGACGGGCTGGGAAATGTCTCTTACAAGAAGTATGAATGGTCTCAGCTGAAGCTTTTATAGAGCGAACGGAAATAAAATCAAAGCTACCAAGTATTGCCCCCAACACATGGGGGCAAGGTAAGAAGTTTGAAAAGTTTTCGAGTCTTTAAAATACATCAAATATTGGGAAGTTGTCAATTCTAGAAACAAACCTCTTCACGAATGTATTTTTTCCATTCTTTGTTGAAGGTTTTCAAAAGGAGGACGGAAGTTAGGGTTTCGATTCCAACACCTTTTCATTATATCATACCTGAAATTTAAC